CGCTGTTCTCGCGGCGTGATCAAAGCTTCCTTGGCACGCCGAAGCGCTGCGTCTATGAGGCTTCGCACGCTTGGATACCGCGTGAGCCCCCTCTATAACGGGGGAAAATACCGTCTCAAGATGTTCTTTTCCCCTGTCTTTTTTCTTCGACCAAGTTTCCCAGCTTTTACCACGGTCTCGGGTATTCTACACTCTCCAGAAAAAAGGGTGTCAAAAAATGTATCGTTACACCCTTTGTCCCATATAATACACCCCAAAATTTCAATTCGACGTACAGCGCACTACAGTCGAACAGACGGCCCGAAATTTTACGAGGGGCTTGATAGCCGTGTGGTACAATATTTTAAATAGCTAAAGTACGTATCAAAGACCACATAAAGAAAACACCGGGTTTTTACAGTAGGGCCGAGAAAACCCCGAATGTTTTTCTTGTTTTCAGTAAAACGTACATTAGATATTTTAATAAGTTGTACCACACGGCTATCAAGCCCCTCGTAAAATTTCGCGCCGTCTGTTTGACTGTAGGGCACTGTACGTCGAATTGAAGTTTGGGGGTGTATTATATGGGACAAAGGGCGTAAGAATACACCTTTTGACACCCTTTTTTCTTGAGAGTGTACATTATGATCAGTATCCACCAGCTCGCCTGCGCACTCACTGATTTTTCATGGTTAACAGACCCTTTTCAAAAGGGCTGCACCAATTATCCCTGTCTGCATTTTTTTGCGCACGTATATATACTCTCAGCGTGAAGTGGGCACGAGCTAGGATTGTGTCAGTGTCCGGCGGCAACTCGGTCCAGCTATTATCGAAAACGATCGAGTTCGCGTCCGTGTTCGGCAAGGATTCGGATCCAATCACACGCTTCCTGCCCAAAAAATGGCGACCGCCATGTTATCCGACGGACTTTTGAAAAAAAGGATCTATGTGGACCGCAAGTTCGTCTGCTTCTCGCGCAGGGGTTGCGGTGACGTCAGAGCGACGCCGAGCTCTGATCGGTTCCCATTGGAAGGATATGGGGTAGACCTCAATGCTAACTGCCTTGAGGTCTACCCGCTATTCTTCTAATCAGAGCCAATCAAAGCTCCGTGTTCTGACGTCACCACAACCCCCGCGCGAGAAGCAGAAGAACTTGCGCTCCATATTGTCATCACTTTGGATGGCCTAACTCTCTTCTTGCGGTGCGAGACAAAGAAAGTGCAGATGGGGCGGTTTTAAGCTGAACAGCGTTCGAATCGCTAATCTCTTACTTTGTCCCGATTAGTGTGTCTTCATGTGCGTTTTGTTCAAAGTAATAACACAAAGTACGTCGCTTTTTTGTTTGCTCTGGACCGCATGAAGGCGTCCCCTGATAAGAGCTATTAGGGAGTTTTCGTAGACCGTTTTCGCCGTCCCGCAACGCTTTCGCAACCCGCCACGACACCCGGAGCTCTGCAGTCGAGGCCATCGGCGCGCGGGCGCAGTAGCGGCTTCTTAGTTGCGGAGGGCTTACCGGAGGGGGAAGCACGGTCCACGAAAACTCCCTATTGGCGTTCACTATGCTGCGGTGGCATCTTGCTACCGGCCATCTCTTTTGTATTTGATTTGTATGCGCGCGTCGTCAGCATCGGGTACTACTGGTACAACAAAGAATGGCATCGCCGTACACAGAAGGACTTTGAAGTACCTTCCCGACCACCTGTGGGCCGAAAGCGGATGACTTGGTGTCGTTCTCTTGATAACGATGGTAAAGTTACCTGCCCTGGGCATATTGTGGATACTCTATGCGGAGCACAAGATCGTCTGCCTCTTGCACAGGAGTTGAGGTGACGTCAGAACGACGCTGAGCTCCGATTGGCTTTGATTGAAAGGATAGTGGGTAGACCTCAATGCTAGATGCCTTGATGTCTATACCCACTACTTTTTTCAATCAGCCAATAAGTGCTCGGCGTTCTGTCGTCATCGCAATTCCTGTGCAAGAAGCAGACGATCTTGTGCTCCGCGTATACGTGGATCGATCGAGCGCTATTCTTTTGTCTCTGCTTTGCCGTTCTTGAAGAAATGACCGAGTGGTGACCCCTTCACTCTTATTGCCAGGTGTTCTACAGACTTCGAGAGCTGCCTACTACGGTGCAAAGACGTTGCAATTTTGTGGCACGAGACTGGTCGGAAAATATAAGTTCCACCCAGAGAAGCTGCAAAAGGTACACTTTAAGGAGGACTCTGTAAATGATAGTGTAAACGGCACACAACAAATGCCATCGACAAAAATACGCACACAAATAATCGCGCATGCTTCTAAAAAAGAAAGAAAAAAAAAAGGAAACGTGAACGTTGCGGCGCGCGCGTACTACGTTTAAGTGAGCTCGATATCAGTCACGAAAACAGCACGGCTTTCCTCCGACCTTCTTGCTGCCGTCTCCCCCATAACCTGTTTTCAGGAGGTTGGGGCAGCACCGCCTAAAAGACAAGGCCATAGTGCTTACATTTTTTGCGTCACTAGCGGAGGCTAGTGACTCAAATTGCACTCGTTTCCAATCTGAACACAGATTGAGAACGAGTGCTGCGTCAGTGCTCTGCTTAGAGTCAAGTTTGAGCTGAACTTTGACGGAATCGTCGTGTCCAGTTGGTGCCCAGCGTTGGCCTTCGCTGATGACATTTCTATCAGCACTACGCGGCTTTGTTATCTACGAGGTGTTGGTAGTGGATGCCTTGACGACAGCCAGCAGAGCGCGTTGCTGACTCTCCTGACCCACGTGATGAGCACGCTGTAAGCTTCTGTCTAAAAACGGAAATGAAGAAATAACTTTTCCCCCGGCAAAAAAACAGCGTCAAAATATTCCGAAAGTTGGTTCATGCCGGAGGGAACCCTCCCCCTCCGATACAGGAAATGCTGTGAACTGCAAAAACCGTGTCCTCTTTGAACAGCCTTTAGCGTTGGCAGAAAACGGAGGGTTCACCTGTATGGAAGGACCGACACGCAGACGTTAGTGCTGTCTGCGAAGACGATGTAACCTAAGTCGCCATAAGATCATACGTTTTTCCAAGAGTGTTTTAAGTATGTTGGAAGAATGGCGACTTTCGGACATAGGTCGCCATAAGTTTTGTCAGGAGTGTAACCAAGTATGTCAAGGAAACGCTGGCTTTTCAATTTGAGGCTTCGGGGAAGCTGCTTTTCGAGGTAATCCAATCAGTTTCTCTCAGGTTCGTGTCTTTGGCACTCGATTCAGCGAAGAATAGCGACGCGAGCAGGCGGCGACGCCAAGACGGACGCGTCTCCCGCTTTCCGGCGACTCACGCGTCGAATTTCGGCGTGTTTGCCGCTCGGGGTGGGTCGGGAATCTACCGACGATGATGTCATGCACAGACCTCGTCTAATTCTAAGCGGCAGTGCACTGTGCTCGCTCGCAACTGCTGCTTACGACGAGAGAACAGTCTAGAGAACACGCTGGCACACTGGCGCCATCTATCCAGTGGCCCAAAAACATTTTGACCAAAGTTCTTTTTTTTTTTCTGCATCATTCTTTCATTGTGGGCTGACAATGTCTCATAAGCGACCACTCCTTATAGGCCGGTCATGGATATAACCTCGCTAATACGGGAAAACCTTCGGTTTAGTTATAGCCTATCGGCAGAGCGGAAGTGTTCCAGGGCTCCTTGATAGATGGCGCCAGTGCGCTAGCGTGTTCTGTTAGTCTTGTGTTCGTAGGCACTTACAATCGAGCGCGACTCGCAGGAGCATACTCAAAAGCAAATATGCCAATTAGCACTTCGCCAATAGGGAGTTTTCGTTGACCGTTTTTCCACCTCCTCTACGCTCTCCGGAACGAAGATGTGCCACTAGTGTTCATGCGCGGTGCTATTCTTTCCTGCAGTCCCGGATATTGTAGCGGGTTGCAGAAAGCGTAGCGGAACAGCTGAAACGATCCACCAAAACCCCCTATTAAAGGGTCTCGCCGGCCTAAATATAGCGATCGTACGTATTCACGCCACGCGCAATTTTACGTACCTTCGATTGCTCTGCTAAACTATCAAACCAAAAATAACTTACATTTCATCGGACAATAATTCGAAAAGCTGAGATTTGGATACACACGTTTTCGTTTCGCCACTCGATGAAACCTGTGACATTACAGATAATACTATAGCCCCTACTCGTGGTGTAACGCCTTTCGCAGATCCCCACCTTACCAACCTTGAGGGTGTCATCTCGACTCTGCTGAAGTGTCCGTTTGGCCGACGGCTCCATTCGGCTGGAATCTCCGCTTCGGCTGGACGCTTCACTTCGGCTAAATCTCCAATTCCGCTAGAATCTCCGATTCGGCTGAACGCTTCAATTTGGCTAAAACCTCAATTCGGCTAGAATCTCCGATTCGGCTGGACGATTCAATTCGGTTAAATCCTCAATTCGGCTAGAAGCTCCGATTCTGCTGGACGCTTCAATTCGAATAAATCCCCGATTCGGCTTGAATTTCAATTTCGGTTGGACGCTTCAGTTTGGCTAGATCCTGTTACGTCACGGCTCGTTTAACGAACGAGTTGCAGTACAGGAATTTTCAGACGCGTTTTATATGATTTATTCTTCAAATCGCGAGCTGAAATTTTGTGGACACTTCTACGAGGACGTCCTGATATCTGAGACAATGTTTTTATACGAAACTAATGACGTCCCTTTTAAACGTTATTTGATTCAGAATTTATAGGGGATTTACGGAAATTTTCAATGGGAAAATGGTCGCCGACAGTGCCCTAGAATACAATAAAGCTGACTCGAGCCAGTTACCTAAAACTGGCCTCATTTTGCCGTTGAAAGTTTAAGAAAATCACTTTAGCTTCTTAATATGATAACGGTTAGTACTGAACCTTTGACATGTGCATGGTTATGACTGCTAGGGCTATATACATACGGACGGTTGTTTATTTTTCCAATAAAAACACACTGTACTTTTTTTCTTTTTAGGGGGGTGGGGGGGGGACGCTGTTGATGTATTACTGTCTAAAAAGGTATATCCTCTTTCCAGGGAATTTCGAAGGTCTGCCTGCTGTTCCGCCTCTGCTTTCACAAACACCGGACTGTACTGGAGACAGAGGTACTAAACTTATCACACGGGGACGTTATATTTATTAGAGATGTCCTTAAATCTGGATTGGAAAAGGCTTGAACTGAAAACCAGTTATTCTCCAATTCAAGCGTGGGCCGCATCCCTTGAGCCATAATGGCGCTGTATGAACGAGGTACGCCACAGCGCAACCGGTTTAATGAAACAGTCGCTCTTTAATATCGATATTGAAGATCCGCAAATATACCGGGTTGGTTCGAGAAAATTAAACCCGGCTTGTCGGCCTGCATCAATGAACTACTCATCGCAGAAAGCTGTAACTCCGCGAAAATGTGATGTTCGCTTTCGCGGTGGTGGTAAGATGCGAAAGTTAAAGCCCACAACGTCACCCCCCCCCCCCCCCCCCCCCGCGAAAAAAAAAAAAAAGCTTGAGGTACATTTAAGCACTTCTTATGAGTTGTGAATACGAAAGCATGCACGTCACTCTTCCGCTCCCTTATTTCGTCTGCAGCGTAACTTGCGTCGACGGTCAAGAGTGCCTTCAGCGGGACATGAAGTAGATACAACATAAGAACGAGGGCGAGGGGGAAAACGGCGCGCACGTAGGAAAGCTGAAGTGAAGAGGGGCGACCTTTTTTCCACAACGGCTTTTCACTTTTTAATTGCTCTCCTCAGCGCGCTGACCTTGGGCGTGGAGCCACTGCCTCGCGGACACGCAGCGCCATGGGGTGGCGGCCGTTGAAACCATAGCCTCCTCTATACGGAGAAAGCCTGGCACATCGACGACGGAGCCATAGGGCGCGCGGCCGCAGGAAAAAGGAGAGGAGGAGCGCGCCGAACGGTGACCAATTCGCGACTCCAACGAACTATAGGTGGCGCCACTCATTTTCCAAGATGGCGGGTTTAGTGAGGGTCAGATATGCGTGCCGCTGTTGAGCCTGTCTAATGTGCTGGTTTCACTGAGCGACATAAATTATTTCTGGTAATACGAGGAAGCTAATGTTTTATGAGCGTAGGTCGCCTCTTTAACCCGAAAACAAGAACGGTGTTTAGCGTATTAATTACGGAAGGTTGCGCTTTTTAATTTTGGAGCGAAACCGAAACTTATCTCTATTTTGGATTTAATTTCTGGACAAATGTCTTAATTTCGGATTCGTTCATGGCTCAAGATGTGTCTCACATTGTAATTATTTACTTAGAAAAGTTGTTCGCGGAAACTTTATTTTGTGACATACTGTTCGATCCAGGCTGATGTTCGTCGTTGTTGAAAAAATCAGTGCTGATATCTCTGCGTTCTTGCTGCCTTTCTCTCGCTCAGATAATTGTCATGGGAAATAATGACAATTATCCCAGCACAAGAATAAGAGAATAATTCCAATTTTTACAATAGGTCCACGAAACGCATAAACTAATAAACGCTGCTCTCACTGCAACAACCCAAGACGAAATCCGAGTCAGACAGCTGAAGCGTGTGTGTGTGTGTGTGTGTGTGTGTTTATAGCACCGCGTGACGAGTAGGACTTCATATTACATCCAGCGTTTAACTGTGTGTCTATCTTGATAACTATGTAAGAGTTTTTCATATGCTAAAAAGAAAACAGAATTATACCTTTCTGGAAAGACTATTATGGTTAAATAGAGTATTCTCGTGATCTTTGCTTTAATTAGAGGCATACATTGCCGCATTTTGTATTGTGATAATAATATTAAGATTCGCATATTTGAATAAGTAATTAATTAAGCTCTAATATAATGTTGCTTATGATCTAATTTTAAACGCGCGAAGAAATATGACAATGAAAACTGCTAATTATCATCACTGGTTCCAATTGCTGCATTTTAATTACAAATAAAATAAAAATAGTCTAAAATAAATGAAAAAGTTCTAGCTAATGTGAGAAATCCATGTAAAATTACATTAATTGTGGGTAAAGTATATTGTGCTATCAAAGTCGCGACTTTTGACAATCGGCGAAACGTCCAAAGTCGCCGCCAATATACTTCCAGACCAAATGCCCAAAAGTTAAAAAAACCTTTTTTGAATTACTAGTTTTTTCATAACATTTATTTACTTTTGTATTTGCTTACCGTCGTTTTGCCAATCTCAGCCTTTCCAGTTCGGAGGAACGCCTACCTGCTTGCACGTCGGCTCACTGCAGTACGTTTCGTTGGCGTTGGAAGCCGGTGAAACAGTAGTGAGTTTTAATATTGCGTATACGAGCGAACTCAAGCCCTGTGTGTTTGCGTTAGCTTTGCGCGTTCCAGACTGCGCGTGCGCGGAGTCCGAAATTGCGGTCCTGGATGGCGCATGGCGATGAGGTGCACGCACGTCGTGGGGCACGCAACTCTAACGCAAACGCACACCGCTTGCGTTTGCTTCTATGCGCAATACTAAAACTCTCCAATAAGGCACAATCCCATACCGGCTGCAGCACTACGTTGGGACAGTGAAGAGTGTTGTTTGCATTCGGAAACGACATTTCGCGAGCCATGATCGCGAGCAGTTCCGCCATGCCCGCTGAGCAGGAGAATCGGGGGACCCTCACTAGAGCGCTTCCCGTTTCCGCCGCGGGAGGGCGAGCGTCGAGCTGGAGACGCGAATATGGTAGCGCAGAGCAGAAAAGGCAGACCTAGACAGCGAGCGCTTGGGTCATGAGCGGCCGCTTCCCGAACCACGCTTGTTTTTGTGTTTTCGTCACCGTCGTTTTCGTACTCCGGGAGAAATGGGCGCGGCGATTCGAAAGGCTGCAGGGAGAAACGGGAAAGGGTGGACGTTGAGTTTCTCCTCTCCACGATAGCGACAAGAAAAGAGAGAGAGAAAAAAAAAGATTGTTTCTGCGTTTGGCCGCTCGCTCTTTTGTGGCGCTAGCAGGCAAGGTTCTTTCCGCTACCGTTTCCCCGCCCCTCCTTTCCCATCTACGGCGGCCGTCTTTTCTCGCGGGAGGCTATGTTGAAACTGACGCGTAGCGGACAATGGGAGCCTTTTTAAGCCTTTTGCGACTTCTTAGGACCGGATGCGTTGCAGCGGAGCTGGTCCTAAGTGTTCGCAAGAGGCTTAAAAACCGGTCTGACCTCTCGCGTCTTAAGGGGTATTCACACGAGGGAGAAATCCCGGGGATTTCTCCCCGGCACGCGCGCATCACGAGATGAAAACGCAAGGCTTTTGAACATCGCAAAGCCTGACGTTTTCGTCGTGGGATGCGCGTGCCGGGGAGAAATCCCCGGGATTTCTCCCTCGTGTGAATACCCCTTTACGGTCGCAAGAGTGTGAACGGGCCTTTACTCCGCTCCTTTGGTATCTGGGAAACAAGGTGCCGTTCGGCTAGGCTTTTCGCGTGGTTTCATAGCTGATGACGTCGGCTCGCTCCATGGGACCCAGTTAATGCTTCCGCATTAAAAATGCTCTCTGTGCGAACGATACGGCCCCTTCGCGCCTAACGGAGTGACGGAGGCAAAGCGCATGACAGCCCCCACTAAAGGTACAGGAGCGAGAGCGTAGCCCGGGCAGTTGAAAAAGAGGGAAAGGAGAAACTCACCTTTTTCCCGGGACCTCTTTTGTGTGTCCCAGACATCGCTTTGGTCCCTCTCGGAGACTGGCACTGCGAACAATATTCGCAGAACCGCAGATATTCTCTCTCTATACCGCCCGTGGCTTCGACAGCAATGCGCGCAACTATACATGGCTTAGCAAAATGGACAATTGGGCGAGTTGGTAAGAGTTCATAATTACTTACAGCGCGACTGGGACAAGGACAGACAGAGGAGAAACACAGAAACACAGGACAAGCGCTGAACTAGCAACTGATTCTATTGAAAAGAAAAGACATGTGATGCTGCTGCTGCTCGTGCAGGCATGCCCCTCCGTGGCCCTGGCGCTTCCTCTTTCACTCAATGCGAAACCGGCCAAGTTTTCCGAGATCCAAAAATCCGATCTCGCTTTTCATCAAAGTCACTGTGGGCTGGCTCACACACAAGGATCCGGTTTTTGTTATGTGGTACGTCTCCATCATTTCTCGGGGTAGTTTGTGGTTGTGTCGGAACATCAGTGTAGTCTTGTTGAACAGGGGTTGGCATCCGCAATCCCGGCAATGCATCGCGAGATGCGTGTGAGCGGTTCCTTTCATGGAACTGTGGTGTTCTCGTAGCCTTATGTTGAGGCAACGCCCGCCCTGTCCTTGTCCCAGTCGCGCTGTAAGTAAATATACATGGCTTACACGTGACCTTAGTCCGCCCTGCTTTTTGGTGGCCAAAAGCGTCTCAATAACGCAGAGGTGACTATACACTCTCACGCGCCCTTTCTCTGTTATGTCTGACCAACTGACGTCGGTGCAACCCCCAAAACCACAGTAAAAGTAGTCAAGCTCCTCGCGGGACGGCACTAATTTTCCCCTTCATGTATTGAATCAAGATGTATGTTGGTGCGTCCTAGATCAGCAGTATGTCATTTTATCGAGACATGTGCACGTTTCAAACGCCAATCTCATCGTTCGCTTCTTCGAGAACCAAATCTTGTAAGAACTACTTTGCGCAGCGCATGCATAATGTGCGAAAAACTTCCTTTTTTGCTTGACGTGACAACGAGTATAGTGAGGTATAGCTGGAATTCCGTGTTTTCGGGTAAATAATAAGACAAAAAAATCCGAAGAAGAACACTCGCCGGTAAGTATTTTCTCAATTCGGATATATCCGAAGACTCCGAATTTCGACGTCACAACGACAAAATAAAGATGAAAAGACGGTGTTTTACAACTAAACTTTATAAGAAGCTGCAGGGTCAGTGGTCCTGAGGAGATATCACTTCAGTTTCCTTTGAAATATCAATCTACTGACAAAAGGCTCGTCAAAATTCCTCAGGACAACGTGTCATGATACCCGAATATTATCTATTTTGTTTCTTAATTTCTAAAAATTGGGAACGCAATAAAACAAACTCCAGATTAAGAAAAAAAAAAAAAAAAAAAAACTCGAAAATTAAAAAAAAAAAAAAAACTAACTTTCATGAACTTTGAATTTTTGAGCTAAAAATAATACCGAAAAGTAGCCTCTGGGTTTCACGAGAAATAAACTCAGAAAACCCGAAATCCTCGTTATATCGGAAGTGGTCGAACTAATAAGTATCGAGGAAACCCAAACTGCCATGAATCGCTGCCGAGGAACCTCTTGCAAAGTTTAGTTGAGCTAGTTGGTACATATTGATGATGGGCCAGCTTGAACTTACAGAATCTTACGAAGAAAGGACGCCCTTTCTTCGTTTGTTTCTGTAAGCTCAAGCTGGGCCCATCACCCAAGGGGAGCCTCTCCCGGTCTTGGCATTGACGCGATAAAGCGGTGCAGAGGTCCGCAGACCTCATACACAACTCAATGCGCATGCTAGGTAACGTAGGGCTCATAGTTATGCTTCAGTCGGTGACTCGGAGATTGCTCAGACTGGAAAACCACTTCGCTCAGGGTTAGGGACGGTCGAAAAAATTTGGGAGCACCTGGAAACTTTGATGCTACTCTTCTCTGGGTTTCTGGGAATCAAGTTTGAGGACCCACGGGGTAGAGTACAGGCAAATTTTTTTCCTCCGACGCGCTGATTGAATTGAGTTAAAAAGAGTTGAATTGAAGTTTATTTGGATTTTCGCGGGCCAAGAGTGGTAGTGGGGTAGAAACAATAAGCATTTACGCCTGACTTAGGCCTTCATTCCTCCGTAGTTTGCAGCAAGTACACACACTCTTAGAAAACAAAAGATAGACACATGAAAAGCAAACGCCTGGCACATTTATATGCGTACTATATATATACTCAAAAACACACACACACAAACTTACATGGGACAAAAGGGATTAATTGCATGATTTTTAGGATAGAACGTTAAGTCCTGTTCAAGTGATAATTTATACGTTCGAAATACATATTTGAATCAATATAGAGGGAAAAAGTAAACGTGTCCTTCGCCGTTTGCCAAGTTACAGTGAGACGGAGTACAAGTAGCGAGAACTTTTGGGAAGGGTCTGGTTCCTTCGGAGGCATGAACCCCTTGGAGAAAGCATCGGGCATCGGCAATCTCGGAGGCCATGAGGGGGCCGCGTATAGATGACGCAGCGACTCTTAGACGGCGAATAAGTTTCGTAAATAAGCAAGAGACTGAATATTCGGACTCAAGGAACATACTACTGCAAAGAATTCATCCAACGCTTCCAAATAAGCCATTAAATTCAGGCCATCACGTTTCAGGGTAGAGACAACTACAAGGATGCCATCTACGATTGCGTCGCGAAGCATCTAAAAATGATATTTCTCAAGTTGAATCCGGTAAGTTGGTCTGGCCATTGCGGCATTGAACTGTTTATCCATAAATTCGCAATTGAAAAATACAACAAAAATACCTTATGCACCTAAACAATTTACATCCCATTGTTCCACATAAAGGAACCATATGACATAGTATGTGCATTTTTTCTCAATGATGAACGCACGGATCAGTTTGATATTTGACCATGGTTGTTCATCATACTTTCACTGCCACATAAAATTCATTGCTTTATTCTACCTATCTTTAATAACGTTGAAATTAAGATATTTTAATTAAATAGATCCGACATAGAGCACTGACATTATTTTTTTTTTTGTGCTTCACATGTCTGATACGTGTATGAGATGCGGGAGATGGTCTCGAATCCCTTAAAATTGTGTAGTGCAATATTTAAACCAATTAATTATAAATTCTTATACGTTTGTTTAACGTTATATTGGGATAAGCTAAATCGTATGAATGCACGTGGCACTTTTCAGAAGGCTGGATTTCATCGGTTTACACCAGAAAAGCTCGATGACGCGTCGTATCGCCAAATATAGGCTGTTGCTTCCTGGAAATCAAATATGGTTAAAGGGGTGGCTAACTTTCAATGTGCGCCCCCCAACCGCCCCCTCCCCCCCCCCCCCCCAAAAAAAAAAAAAAAGGCGACAAGAAAACTTTTACGGAAATGCCATATGTATGATCTTAACTAATATATAAGAATTGCGCAAGTGATGCCACATGTAGCCGTTTTATATACATGGCACACGTGATATGATTGCCCCCCCCCCCCACGCACACACACACACACACAGTCCGATAAGTTTGGTCAATTTCAAGTGAATCCTCCCGCCCTACTATATTTGCTAGATGGTGACGGGCTAAGAGTTGAGGGGAAGCTCCGCCCCTTTCCACTTTAGCAAAGCTAAGACTGGAGAGGAGGTCGCCCCCTTTCTGGCATTCGCTCTGCTGAAAGGGAATGAGGTGAGAGGAGCTTCCTTTGAACTCTTAGCCTGTCACCAAATATAGACATTTTTCTATTGGAGTGTACGCGTTTAATCTTATCGGCGTTATGCTCTGTTTTAAGTGAGAAATGAATGAAGTACTGAAAGCGCTGAGATTTTTGTCCACTGTCCGGTATTTAAATATAAAAAAAATAATCTCCAGAAAAATGAAGTAATATGTAGGATCTTTATTTCCTTGTATAATGTTTTGTATCTGTCATTTTAAGATAGTGAACACGTGTATTAACTTCTTCCAGTCTTCTACTTCAGCCATCGGTTCGTGGTAATTGAATGCATACCATGGAAACGAATTAATAAACTAAATAATAAACTGTCCCGGCATCGCCAACTTTATTGAATCTGAGCCGTCGTGATCTCTAAATGTATGATGCTACTGCATTGACACTTCCGAAGCACTTTAATAATTTTACCAGCTCTTACAAAAGTCGATCGATGAATCAATTAGAGGCCACCTACTAATAGGCTACTATTTTAATCGATGCACGGTCCTAAGTTGAAACGTAGCCAAAAACTCTCGGTTCACGCGTATGTTGCGTTGCAGGAATTCTGTGCAAACAGCACATTCGCCAAACTCGACCACTTCGTGGACGAAGGAGCGGTGAGCACAGTCATATTATTCTTTTTTTTTTCTTTAAGCCGCGGGCTTTTTTTAAATTTTATATAACAGCGGTACAAAAGACAGTCTGCGAACACTGGTGTGTTTCCCGTTAACGCGAAACGTTCTTTGGCTAGTTGCTGCCGGATTTCGTGAAGCCGTGGCCTGCGACGTCCCGTGATGCAACGCGCGCAGCGTTGCATTATGGGGCGTCACAGACGTACACACCGATTCAGTTTCTCCGCTAAACTTAGCGGGGAAGTCGAATTAGTGTATAGGTCGCGTGACATCAATTTTCCCGCTAATTTTAGCGGGAAAATTAACGTCTCGTAGCCTAAACATAACAATTCAGTTTCCCCGCTAAATATAGCGAGGAAATTGACGTCATGTGATTTAACGTCACGCGACGGTAGAACGTTTCACGTATGCGGCACGTCTGCCCAGCAAATCGCCGTACAATTTTTTTTTTTTGATGTAGCGATATTATCACGTCGGTCGTACAAGAACCGTCTGCAGAGATGAACGAAGCAAACAGACTTCACACACGCGTGGGGCGCCTCCGTAGATAATCCTGTCATCGTGTATGATGTATGGGAGCGGTGTGATCTCCTGGTTAAGAGAAACACCCATGTGTTTTTCGAGTCGAGTCTGGTTCACACATTTTCGTTTTGAGTGCGGTCGTGCGCTACGACGAATCGGGACCGCTTTACGACGCGATTGAGCTCTCTATATAGCACCATCTCTCCCGCAGACCTAAAGCGGGTGGCACTTAGTGTGCACATATCCAGACCGAATGTTCTGCAGTATTTGCGAAATCTAATCTAAACACTGTTTATAAAAAAAAAAAAAAAAAAAAAAAAAAAAAAAAAGGCCGCTTATAACGTTGCCGGAATTATTCCGAGCCCATAAAAAAAGAAATAAAAAAAAGCGAAAACCAAACCAGCAAACATGGATTGGAAGTGTGACTACCGCGCGTAGATGGGGTCTCTCGTCAGCTGTCCCTATAAAACCCCGTGACAAACGGGAACCCATCGAGGGGCCTTGGCTGACACAAGCGGTCGATCACACACACAGAAACACTCACACGCGCGCGCACGCACGCACACAAACAAAACGTACGAACCAATCTTTATCAGCTGGCTATTGATGTTTGTCGATGGTAGCCTCCAGGAGGCGCTGATGGACAATGTTAGAAACCGAAACCGACGAATACTATAAACCCCTACTCAAAGCTTGTGTTGGTGAAATGAACGCTGCGGCGATACACCTGTCAAGTGGCCACAATGATATCGTAGAGGAAACAAAATAAAAGGAAATAAAATAAATGAAGGTCGCTTATGGCTGTACCCATAGTTTGAAACATAATCACTCGGGCATCCGCTCTTCGTGAGCACATAAAATAAACGAATGAAAGAATGAATTAATGCGTTTGCTGCGCGGTGGCGCTGCAGCCGTCATATCCCAGTGTATGGAGACTCATTCACAAAGAAGCCTTTGACGACTTTTCGGGAACTAATGTCGTCTTTAATTACGTTGAGCTCCGATTGAGAGTTAGCGGGTCACCCGTACTTCTTGTAAAGTGGAGATCTTGACACATGCGAACCACGAATTTCCCGACAACTCGTAGTCTTGACGCCAGGTAGTAGTCCTTGAGCTACTCAATCGAACTATACACTTTCGGAATGCCAGGGGTTTACTCTTTCCTGTAAGCTCTTCATTACCTATAACTAAGGAATAGTGATTGAGGAAACGACAAACGAATGTGATGCCAAGACCAACATTCAAGTTTCTCCGCGCTTTTCATTGGCATAGCACCATGCATGTTGTAAAATGCTATATATATATATATATATATATATATATATATATATATATATTTGTGGAGGTGTTATCAAAGGCGGAAAGCTCGCGCTGGAGGTGGAGGTGTTATCAAAGTTCGAAAGCTCGCGCTGTAGGCGAATGTGTCATCAAGGGCAAAAAGCTCGTTCTGTAGGCGGAGGTGTTACCAAAGGAGGAAAGCCCGCGCAGGATGTAGAGGTGTTATCGAAGGTAAAAAGTTTGCGCTTGAGGCGGATGTGTTATCAAGGGCATAAAGTGGGGTCTGGATGCGGAGGTGTTATCAAAGGCGGAAAGCTCGCGCTGGAGGTGAAGGTATCAAAGGTAGAAAGTTCGCGCTAGAGGCGGATATGTTATCAAGGGCATAAAGAGCGCTTTGGATGTGGAGGTGTTATCAAAGGCGGAAAGCTCACGCTGGAGGCGAACGTGTTCTAAAAGGAAAAAATGCTCGCGCTGGATCATTCCATAAAGCAGTTCTGCAAGGCGCCACTTTCAGCGTTCGTGCATATGGCGCGTAATTTGCTCGCTTTGCGTAGTGACGAACATGCGCGTGCATGTTGGGCTGTGGAGATCGCACGCAGGGCTGTGAATTTGCAAACATTGAAGAGCTATATAGGTGAAGCTGGCACTCAGAGAAATGGGCAAGCATAACGGTCATACAGGTGTATTTGTTTTTTCTTTCAGCCCTGTTTGCACGAGCACGACATTTTCCACACAGACGTCAAGGTGGCGCTTGCAGCTCTGCGTTGGCTCCGGGAAGCCTTCTTCTGAAGCTGGCAGACAGAAAGTTGGCACGCCGAAAGCTGCTCAAAATAAAACGAACGTAGACTATAACTGTTGCCGGCGTTGAATTAAAGAACAGTTTTAGTGGATCGTATACTAAAGTAACACCTTTTGGCGGGCTAGTTGGTTCATGATTTTAGAAATAAATGAACTGCGCAAAGGACGAGGACAGAGGTAGAAACGAGTACGACACACAGAGCGCAGACTTCCAACTGTTTATTTGGCGCAGACACAACAGTATGAGGCAACGGAAAGAAAACTCGTAGAAGCCTACTTCATTAAAAAGAAAGGTCACGACTGCATAAGCATGCAATCTGTTTCACTATCAGACAAGGAATTCTCTTTTTTGGACGGTCATGTTTAAACCTTATTTAACCGCAAACTGATTGCTGCTGTCATATATACTGTTGTGTCTGCGCCAAATAAACAGTTGGAAGTCTGCGCTCTGTGTGTCGTACTCGTTTCTACCTCTGTCCTCGTCCTTTGCGCAGTTCATTTATTTCTAAAATCGTATACTAAAGCTTTGCACACTCAAAAAAAAATTGCGGGTCGAGAGTGCGCATTCGCAAAACGTAATAGAAGGACTAGCGTATTACGTACGCACGCAACGCTGGAGATTTTGCGTTGAGGGCTAGCGGGATTTGCGGGAAGCTCTCGGGGGATCTCCCGCCCAGCGAGAGCACAAGTTTCAAAATGGCGGCTACCTCGACTGACGCAGCAGGGGCGATGTGGCGATCTGGTGTTCGCGAAGTTCAGTGTTAAGTGAAGTTGCGTGGTGTTCAGCTCGGCTATTCTTTCCGGGATCTACCGCGGTCGAATCAAATCACCGTGCAGCTGAAGGAGTGCACAGTGAAAATGTTCACCGCTCGCAATGTGCGTGAACGCTGCGATCTGCTTAAAGCGAAGCGTCTTTCCGCTGTTCATCGCCGACGGACGAACGACTCAAGAAATCGCAGAGGTTGTCGCTATGCACTGGACATTAGTAGGTCATTAATTGCGAGTGCAATTCTGAACGATGAGAAAACCAAAATTGATCATCGATTAAAGGATTAACAAAGTTGTGCGACAAAACGAGATGCCGAGGGAACGAGAGTCTTATTTTTGCTAGGCCGCTTTATCTTGCAGTGCGGACTAAAGGCAACAGTGGCATATTCTCGGGGCGATGAGAAGTCGTCAGTCGGAGAAATGACATCACACACCACACAGAGACACCGCACGCCGAACGTGGAAACGAACTTGAATGCCCTTGCGCCTATGCGAATAGTGAGAATATGCTGGCTCTTCGGAGTTTCTTATGTTCCATGCAACAAAAATATTAATCTAATAACGAATTGCGTCGGGTGCCACCCCGACATGAAAAGCAGAAAGCAAGACGGACTTCATCGCATCCGTGAGCGACCATCGAGAAGGGCGTCTCGATGGAGGGAAATTTCACGAAGTGGGAGGGAAAGTTCGCCAAAAATAGGGGAATTTTAGGCGTCCAACGAAAGAGGGAGAAACGTGAAACGCTCGTCACGTCGGCGCTACAGGCGGTCGCCCTCTTTACGGAGGCCCTATTCCCAGACGTCTATCGTCTCCTCAATATCCTAGCGACTCTGCCCGTAAAAACGGCGGAAGCTGAGCGCTCGTTCTCTTCACTACGACGGTTGAAAACACCTGAGTGCGTCCACTTCAAATGAGCGACTGCTCGGTCTAGTGCTTTTGAATGTTCACCGCGACATTGAAGTTTTGGCGGTGGACATTTTGGATATTCTTTGCCGTGAACGCAGGGGGCTGCATCTTAATATGTAGGCGCTTGACATAAATGGAATGATCAAGGGAGCCTGGAAATTGCTTTTTGAAATAACTATAGACACAGTTATCTTTTTTTTCGCGGTAATTTCTAGTCGAAAGCACGTAATTCTGATCAGTACACAAGGTGTGCGTGAGTGCAGCGCTTACACTGCCATTGGTTTTACAATTCATCTATATTCCTTACATCTCTGGCATTGCTTTATTTTATCACCATGTGTGCGCTTTATTATGTACCCTTTAGTTTGATTTAACTATTGTGGGTGTCCTATTGCCCCTGCCCGCTCGGACCGCGCTCCGTTCGCTCACCGAGAAACCAGACGACACCAGCCGACAAAAGAAGAGGTTTTAAAAATACAGTTCTCTGCTGTGCCGGTGGCTTGGCCTCCCCGGTTGCGGTGACCGCCGCTGCCTTGCAAGTCTGCCTCGATGGTGCAGGCCCTGGTATCACGTGAAGGTCTGGGTCCGCGACCCCGCGATGGAAAGGCTTCTGTCCTCGAGCTCCGCCGGATTCGACTGCCTCGCCCGTGCTGTCCCGTCCCACCTCTTCCTGTTCCCTTTTTCTTCTCGTCCCTCGCGCCTCGCCCTATGCCTCTCTTCTTCCTCGTCCCCTACATCCTCCCCCCCCTCAAGCGTCTGGTCCCAGGTACCGAAGGCTGGGGGTGTCACCTTTTCAAGCGTCTGGTCCTGGGTACCGGAGGCAGGAGGTATCGCCTCCTCAAGGAACTCGTCAATGTCTTCCATTACTGTATCTTTGGCAGGAGGTGGAAGCACTTCGGTTGTAGCTAGTGTTCGTGGAGCCGGAATTGGTAAAAACGGAGGCTGTTCGGCGGGGGAAGGGTCTGGGGTTGATTCCCGGTTGTCATTTCCTCGACTAGGGCTTCGTTTGGGTGTGTTTCGGCTTGGGCGGGACTCAAGGCAGCTGGATTCAGGAGGTCGGGCCGGTTCCTGCGGAGCAACTGTACCGCTGCCGCTATGCAGACGAGGGGGCACATTGTCTTTAACATGTCCGTGTGCCGACGACTGGCCTCGTGGGTTTCTTGGTGCACAACCGGGACCTGGCATAACCAACAGGGGTTCAGCTGGTCTTCAGCAAAGGAAAAAGCCGGCAATGTGCGTCCCCTGAAGGGCTGTGGGACCTGGTCGAGGGGTTGGGACGGGGTTGGTCTCGGTTGGTCTCTCCAACGCTGTCTTGAAACAAAATGGCGGTCTTCTCGCCCGTCGCACGTCGTCCAGGTTGCCACGGTGTGGCAAAGGGGCCTGAGTCCCCTTGGTCTTCCCCTCTCGGTTCCGTTCACACCGTTCTGCGTTGACTCTGGTTGTCCCCTCGACGTAGCTGGGCTCACCCCGTTCGGAGTAGAAGACTGAGCGGGGGAACCAGCTCCTCGGAAATGGCGTGGCCGTCTCCATGGGCGGCCTCCGCGCGAGTTGGACCGGTCTGATCCATATCGGCTAGCCGAACCGTTTGGGGAAGTGGAGCTCCCCGCGTCCCACTGCATTGAGCCACCGGCTGGTCTACCCCAGGGTCGATAACTCTGTGGGCTGGGCCGGCCAGCCTCTTGCCACCCAGCCTGGCTGCCTCCCGAACCGGGTGGTCTTGTGCCTGATCCCGGTTGACCTCCGGGACGGTAGCCTCCGCGTCGACCTCTCCTGGGTGGCATTCTGGGCAGAAGAAACACAATTAGTAACCCTGAAAATATAAATTTCTAGGCCGTAAATCGTAATGCCGGGCAGAACCACTGTCGAGTTCTTCCCCGACAGGTTCATGCACCGTTTGACTGCCGCGCTTACAGCGCGTTGTGGGTTGCACGTCAGAAACGCCCGGGACAAGGAGTTCCTCGTCCCCTTGTGTGCGTTCTCGTTCATCGTCATCCCGATCACGAAGATGGTACTTTTTCAGGTCTGTGATGTGAACCGGGCCAGACTCCTCGTTCGTATTTTGCCGAGCAAGCCTGTAGGTAAGACGTGACTGTCGTGCCCTTACCACGTAGGGCCCTTCCCACTTCGGAGCAAGTGAGGCTGCGAATCCGCTCGCTGCATTGCTCAAAGGATGGGTTCTCCTAAGGACCAGGTCCCCCACCTTGTATTCCAGGTGACGATGACTCTTATCGTACTGGGCAGCCTGCTCGATCCTTGCAGCATCGAGATTCTCTTTAGCGTCGTGCATTGCGCTCGCCAAGTGGTTCTTTAATTCTACCGCGTATTTAGAAAGTGAGCCCTGTTCTGTAATCCGTTCTCTAGCGGAGACGGTAGTTCTTTACCCAAGTTTAGAAGCGCTGGCGTGAACCCAGTCGATCTGTTCACAGTCGTCCGGATGGCGAAGCTCATCTCGCTGACGTACTGATCCCAGTCCCGGTGTCTCTCTGTTAGCGCGATCAACATGCTCTTCAAGTTCCGATTCACTCTTTCAGTGATATTAGATTGAGGATGGTATGGTGTTGTTTTCCTGTGTTTTATGTTTAGCGCCAAGCAGGAGTCAGTGAACACTCTGCTGGTAAAATAGCTAGCATTATCGCTGATGATACACGTGGGTGTACCGAAGCGCATGAACGTTTCAAACAACTTCTCCCAGATGCGCTCCGAGACCAGCTTCCTCAGCGGGTGTAACTCCACCCATTTTGAGAAATGATCGGTTATTACCAATAAATACTTGTTCCCACGGGGACTTTTTGGAAGTGGGCCGATGATGTCGCAAGCAACCATCTCCCACGGGTAGTGACTCACTACAGGCTGCATCAGGCCTGGGGGCTTTCCCCCTCGCGGCTTCGCTCTCTGGCAGGCTGGGCAGCTACGGGCGTATCGGAGTGTGTCCTGTCTCATCCCCGGCCAGGTCGCGACGCGACATAACTTTTGAAAAGTCTTGCTGCCGCTGCCATGACCAGCCAAAGCCGAGTCGTGGAAGTATCCGATAAACCGCCTCCGTAGCCTCCTAGGAATCACCACCCTGAACGGAGAGTCGTTCCCCTCCTCGTCGTCGATTGTTGGAATGTAGCGGAGCAATAAGCCGTCCTGACCCAGCAGGTATGAATCAATATGTTCGTTAAATTGACCGCCAGCGTCCCCGGTGTTGCTTGCCATTTCCACAATTTTCCCCAACACCCGCTGACAAAAACCATCTGCCTTTTGGGCCTCGACAAGCTCTTCCTTGCTCACCACTTGACCCCAAGCCACGATCCTCTGTTCCCTCGTGCGGCCTCCTAACACTGCGACGAGCTCCTGTTGCATCGATCCCTTCCCGCTGTCTCGC